AAGTCCTAAAGATAAACAATTTCAACCAAAAATAACCTACCCAGCCATATTAAACTTCATCAGTGAGGGAGAATTAAAATCTTTCCCAGATATCCAATCCCTAAGAACTTACGCTGCAACTAAACCACCTCTACATGGAACACTTAAGAAAGTACTAAACACAGAAGAAAAGGAAAAAAGAACAATGTTCTTCACAAGTGTACAGGAAAAAGAATAAAATGCACATGAACCAACCCTAAAACCAAAAGAAAGACAAAAAACAAAGTGGAAGAACAACAACTCTATAAGAACTCTATGATAAGGACGAACTCTCACATTTCAATAATTAGCCTGAATGTGAATGGACTAAATGCACCACTGAAAAGACATAGAATGGCAAAATGGATAAAATATCACCAGGCAACAATATACTGACTTCAAGAGATCCATCTCACTAGAAGGGACATGCACAGACTCTAAGTAAGAGGATGGGAAACAAATTTTCAGGTGAATGGAACACAAAAGAAAGGAGGAGTCATGATCCTAATTTCAGACAAAATACCATTTAAGCTATCAAAAATTAAAAAAGATACAGAGGGCCACTACATAATGATAAAAGGTTCACTCCATCAACAAGAAATATCTATCCTAAACATATATGCACCCAACATAGGTGTGCCAACTTTCATAAAGCAACTTCTAGGAAAACTAAAGAAAGATATTGACCCTAATACCATCATAACTTGGGACTTTAATACCCCACTCACAACCCTAGACAGATCATCAGGACAAAAAATCAGCAATGAGATCCGGAACCTCAAAGTGACTCTGGACCAAATGGACTTAATTGATATCTACAGAACACTACATCCAAAGTCCACAGAATACACATTCTACTCATCACTGCATGGAACGTATTCTAAGATCAACCATATAATTGGCCATAAATCAAGCATAAGCAAATTTAAAAGGACCGAAATTCTACCATGCACCTTCTCAGAGCACAGTGGAATAAAAATAAACATTGACACCAACAAGGTCCCCCCAAAACCCAGAAAGACATTGACACTAAACAACATGATGCTAAGCAACTCCTGGGTCAATGATGAAATCAAAAGAGATATCAAAAATACCTGGAAACAAATGAAAATGAAGAAACATCTTACCAAAATCTCTGGGACACCTTAAAAGCTCTAGTAAGAGAGGAATTTATATCCCTACAAACACACATGAAGAAAATGGAAGGAGCACAAATTAACAGCCTAACAAGCCACCTAAGGAAGCTGGAAAAGCAAGACCATAAAAACCCTAATTTCAGCAGAAGAATCCAGATCACCAAAATAAAAGCCCAAATCCAGGACATAGAAGGCAAAAAGATAATACAAAAAAAAACAATGAAACAAAAAGCTGGTTCTTCGAAAGGATAAACAAGATTGATGGTCCCCTAGCTAGACTGACCAAGAAAAAGAAAGAAAATCCAAATAAGCACAATCAGAAACACAAAATATGAAGTCACATCTGACCCTGAAGAAATACAAAAGATCAGCAGAGACTACTATGACACTTGTATGGAAACAAACTTGAAAACCTCAAGGAAATGGAGGACTTTCTGTCATCACACAACCTACCTAGGTTGAAACAAGAAGAAATTGAGACTCTAAATAGACCAATAACAATCAAGGAAATTGACTATGTAATAAGAAAACTACCTACAAAAAAAAGCCCTGAACCAGATGGCTTTCCAGCAGAATTCTCCAAGACATTTAAGGAGGAACTGATTCCAATCCTACTGAAGCTATTTCAGGCGATTGAGAAGGATGGAACCCTCCCCAAATCATTTTATGAAGCTAACATCACATAGATACTCAAGCCAGGTAAAGATCCAACCAAAAAAGAGAACTAAAGGCCAATATCTTTGATGAACATAGATGCTAAAATTCTCAACAAGATCCTAGCAAACCTGATTCAACAACACATCTCAAAAATCATCCATCATGACCAAGTAGGCTTCATCCATGGGATGCAGGGCTGGTTCAACATTTGTAATACAATAAATGTAATTAAATACATCAACAGATGTCAAAACAAAAACCACATGATTATATCATTAGATGCAGAAAAAGCTTTTGATAAAATCCAGCACCCTTTCTTGATAAAAATCCTCGAACATCTAGGCATACAGGGAATATACCTCAAAATAGCAAAATCCATCTACGAGAAACCCACAGCCAGCATACTCCTAAACGGACAAAAATGGGAACCATTTCCCCTGAAATCTGGAATAAGACAAGGATGCCCACTCTCACCCCTCCTGTTCAATATAGTACTGGAAGTCCTGGCTAAAGCAATCAGAGAAGAGAAGGCAGTCAGTGGTATCCAAATAGGAAAAGAGGAAGTCAAATTATCTCTCTTTGCAGATGACATGATCGTGTACCTTGGAAACCCAAGAGAATCTGTCAAAAACTTCCTTACACTGATAAAGGCCTTCGGCAAAGTCTCAGTATATAAAATAAAATGTGCAAAAGACAATCGCATTTATTTACGCCAATGATAAACAAAATAGAAACCTAAAATAAGAAGCACAATTCCATTCACAATAGCCACAAAAAAAAATGAAATACCTTGGCATCTTCCTAACCAGAGACGTGAAAGACCTTTACAATGAAAACTCTTAAACTCTACTCAAAGAAATCAAAGGTGACACAAACAAGTGGAAAAATATCCCATGCTCATGGATTGGAAGAATCAACATTGTGAAGATGTCCATCTTACCTAAGGCAATCTACAGATTCAATGCAATACCTATCAAATTATCAGCAACATTCTTCTCAGACCTAGAAAAAACAACACAGGGATTCATATGGACACACAAATGACCAAGAATAGCCAGAACAATCCTCAGCAAAAAAAAAAAAAAAAGCAAAAACAAAAGCATGTGGTATCACATTGCCAGACTTCAAACTTTACTTTAAAGCTACAATCATCAAAACAGCTTGGTATTAGTATAGGAACAGGCATAGAGATCAATGGAATAGAATTGAGATCCCAGAAGCAAAACCTCAATTTCTCAACCAACTCATCTTCGACAAAGCCTCTACCACCTATCACTGGGGAGAGGAGAACCTATTCAGTAAATGGTGCTGGGAAAACTGACTGACCACATGCAGAAGATTGAAACAGGACCCCTATCTATCCCCATACACAAAAATAAACTCCAAATGGATCAGAGACCTAAATGTAAAACCTCAAACCACAAGAACCTTAGAAAATGGACACACCCTCATGGAAATTGGAACTGGCATCCAATTCCTGAACAAAACTCGAAACCTACAGGCCATAAAGGATAAGATAGACAAGTGGGACCTCATCAAACTGACAAGCTTCTGCAAAGCCAAAGAAATCATCAAGAGAGCAGGGAGATAGCCTACAGACTAGAAAAAATTATTTGCCAACTCGAGATCTGACAAAGGCTTAACATCTTGAATCTACAAGGAACTCAACATGCTGAAAAGAAAAAAACAAACAACCCATTATAAAATGGGCAGAAGATATGAATAGACACTTCACAAAGGAAGACATCCAAGCAGCCAACAGACACATGAAGAAATGCTCAACCTCACTAATCATCAGGGAATGCAAATCAAAACCACACTGAGATACCACCCAACTCCAGTCAGAACGGCAATTATCAATAACTCAAAAAATAATAGCTGTTGGAAAGGGTGTGGCGAAAAGGGAACACTCCTACACTGTTGGTGGGAGCGTAAACTAGTGCAACCTCTGTGGAAAGCAGTGTGGCGATTCCTAAAATCTCTAAACATCAACCTCCCATACGACCCTGCAATCCCCCTACTGGGAATATATCCTGAAGAACACAAATCACTCTATAAAAAAGATACCTGCACATGAATGTTTATGGCAGCATTGCTCAAAATAGCAAGAACCTGGAACCAACCACACTGCCCATCAAAAGAGGACTGGATTAAAAAATGTGGTGCATATATACGATGGAATACTATGCAGCCATAAAAAAGAACAAAATCATGAATTTTGCTGCAAACCTGGATGGAGCTAGAGTCTATAATACTGAGTGACCTCTCACAGAAACAAAGACATGAGTATCGCATATTCTCACTTATATAGTGGACCTTGATCATCCAATGCACTACCATAAGAAAATGACTGACAGTGGTGGGAAACTATGGGGGGGTTGGGACTAATGGTAGTAAACATCTGTCTGGGGACGGGAGACACCTGTTATCAACAAGGGGGCCTGAATGAAGCATATTTGTATACCTAACCCTTACCTGTACCCCAAAATATCAAAATAAAAAATATTGATAAATAATAACACTAATAATAATAATTTCAGGATAATAGCATGCACAAAGTACGCACCCAAAAGACCTTAACAATGAGTAGAAATTTTGCACTTTATGCAGATGCGTGAATATGAGGTGCACAGAGGAATGCATTGCAGAATAAAGGAGGCCAAGGAGAGACAAAGGAACTGAGCCTGGAGTGTGAAACTAGAATTTACTCAAGAGGAAGCCTCCTTATTTCTTGGGGGCTGCCAACTCAGCGACCAGCGTTAATATGAAAAGATTTTTGCTTGAAACAGTTTCTGCTATTATAATATCTTCCTCATTTTCCACGTTAATTAATGTCAATAAACAATGTTATCACCTTCCCTCCAAAGTAAGAAGCAGATCTGAGGAGGCCAAGTTGCCAAGCTACAGAGGCATACGCCTTCTCAGAGGTGTGTATTTAGCTCCATCTGGTGGCAACTGTACATAATGCCGCAGCGATACCTGGGCGCTCAGACAGCAGGCGGGTCGCAGAACGTGGTCCTGGGTGATTAAAGAAGGGAGAGAACACTGGAGCATATACTCATTGCTGAAACTGGGAGGGGAGTAAAGAAAAATGGTTAAAAAAAATTTGAAGGACAATTTTTTGAAAACTTGAAACAAAAATTAAAGACATCATGAAGCAAATCAAATTTTCAAAAATTGTGGGAAATCCATGAAGAGACTCACTTACTGAAAATAATAACAGTCTATTTCCATGAACAGAAGAACACAATTTAAATGATTTTTAAAAGCTGGGTTGGACTATGATCTTTTTTGTTTGTTTGTTTGTTTTTTATTTTTTATTTTTAAAACATATTTATTAGTAGTTTCTTCATAAAGTTTCTATATATGTATATAAAATAAATGCTTATGAAATTTTTTTGAAAAAACAGTGCATCTAATCTAAGAAGTGTTCTGCATTTTTATTGGAGTTAATGGAAGTTAACGAGAGGCAGAACAAGTTGAGTCTGGTGTGTTTTGCCCTGCTCTGGGGATGACATCTTGGTCGGCCATCTAAAGCTTCATTTGGACTATGATCTTAAGAAAGAAGAACAAGAACAACTAAAGGGGCGTTAATAGTGTATTGATTTCCTCCAGAAGAGCAGGGAGCCAGGGACAGAGGTTGGTGAAATGGCTAGAACTGTAACTGAGGGCGCATATTTGAGAAAACCATGTCCTCAGATGCATATTTAACTGCGACATTATAAACACTTTGATTGTCTCTGTGGAGATTACAGGTAGTCCACATGAAACTATTTTTACTGAATATATTGAATGCTAATAATAATATAACCACAGTCTATGGTTACATGCCATGAAGTAGGTTTGGTGGCCACAGTCTGTGGTTACACACCATGAGTAGGTTTGTTATAGGAATTTTACCTGCCGCCTTTTAATCACAACTAAGTAAATTAAGTACGCTGTCCCATGTTAAGGGTAAGAAAAATAGGGACTCAGAGATATCAAATAACTTGCCCAGGTTTTCTCAAGTACTCAAAGGTCAAGAAGGGACTCAAATCCAGGTCTATTATTCCAGATCCTGTTCTTTCTGCTACATCATGTTGATTTTCTTTGAACCACATGAATTTACAATTTATTTTTAAAGTTTATTTTAACTCGAATTTATTAGTCAGATCATTAATACATTTATGTGATATAAAGTACAAAAAGTACATAAGTGTAAGAGCAAGTGAAAACAAAAAGAGTGAAAAGCTATCTCCTAGTCATCCAGTTTCCTTTCCTTGAGGCAGCCCTCTGTAGCATCCTGTCTCTCTTTCCAGGGTATATTATCCACATGTTGGATTTTAAAAGTCAACATAAAAATGACCGAGTCCTCAACATTATATTAAATTTTGATTTTATAACTAAGGCAAAGTCACAAGAGATGACTAAACACCAAAATCAAAACAACTTCGCTTGCAACAGAATTATAAATTCAGTCAAATCTAAGCATGAAGAATTTTTGAAATAAAATGTGTTAATTCACCATTCAGTCATTTGAATAGCTTTGAGCTACCACTAATGGAAGGCTTTAAAATGATTGCTTACATTTTCTCCAAAGCTTATATGCATTCTCAAATCCCTTTTGGAAAGCTCCAAATTATTCCATCTGTCTTCCTACCCTCTCTTTTATTAAATATATTGTCCTTATTCCCAGATTTTTTTCTTGGTTATTAGATTGACCCTTAGCCAGCCAAGTTAATGTTGGCTAGAGACACTCTTATCAAAAGAATTGGGGCCAAAATGTCAGTCTGGATTTTATTTCTATGTTATAGGTGAACTAGATGGTCATTTCTCTAATGAAATGCCTTTAATTTTAAAAAATGCTCCCACACTCTTTTCCCACATGTTATTTTGTATGAGTCCAGTTTTCACATGCAAAATGAATCAGATTCATCGCATGTGGTTTTAAGTACACTTTTGCAAAAGGTCCCATTTTTAGCCAAGTCACAGCTGAGCTTTACTTTCAGCTAATTAGTACTTGTTCTTAAATTGGGCAGTTCTAACCCAAGCTAGGAGATGAGATGCAATTTACTTCCTCTCTATTCTCCTAAAATTAACTGAGCTGTAAAATGTGAGTGTTCTCTTGTTTTTCCCTGGGTTTGGTTCCATCATAAAGAATCCACCAAAACTTAGAATATTTCAACAAACCTTGCTGTTCTAACTTGAACAGTAATAGAGTACTTCCTTACAAAATCTCAGCTCTTTGGTTGCCAAGCAACCATTAATTTATTGTTAACTAACTAGCTTTAAACTTATATGTGATGATTAAATATAACAATATGCTTTTGATGCTCTTAAATGCACAAAACATTGGCCAGATCCAAATGAATATGGCAGTCTTGCGTATTCCAAGGAATTCCAAGGAATGATTTGTGAGACCATTAGGAGAGGAAATCTGTCTGGTCCCTGTAGGAGCACACTAAAAGTGGTCTTAGGGGATTCAGGAGTCTGTAGGGGTTACCAGTTTAATTTCCCAACACTGGAGAAGTTATTTGATATCTCTGAGTCCCTATTTTTCTTAGCCTTAGCATGGAAGAGTGTACTTAATTTACTTAGTTGTGATTAAAAGGAGGCAGGTAAAATTCCTATAACAGAACTACTCATGGTGTGTACCACAGATTGTGGCCACCAAACCTACTTCATGTAACCACAGACTGTGGTTATATTATTAGATATTAGAAGTTCCTTGTCCCTAAAGAAGATTGATAGGAACTAAAAATGAGATATAGGGCTCCCTTGAAGGGCCCTGATAATACTTCCATTCATTTTATTAGGCTATTTATTTATTTATGTTATTATTATTATTTTTGAGTTGGAGTCTCACCCTGTTGCCCAGGCTGGAGTGCAATGGAATGCTCAGAGCCACTGCAGCCTTAACCTGCTGGCCTCAGGTGATCCTTCCACCCTAGCCTTCCAAGTAGCTGGAATCACAGGCATGTGCCATCATGCCTGGCTAATTTTTTGATTTATTGTAGAGATGAGATCTTGCCTGGTTGCTCAGATTGGTCTCAAACCTCTGGGTTCAGGCATTCCTCTCACCTTCACTTCTCAGCTGCTAGGATTGCAAGCATGAGTCACCACGCCCAGCTAGGCCAAGACTTTTAATCCACACTTTATTATGTAAGGACATTTTAAAGTGTGCGGTTAACTTATTAAATGTGTGCAATTTAATAGCATAAAAATAGGACACGGTTCCTTAAACCATTGCTTCCAACATGTTCCATCAGAACTTTCATTCTTTCATCTCTGACATTTAGGGCAGATCCTGTAAAATGCTTAAAAATGGTTTCATGAAGCCATCAGGTGTCAAGTCAGGCAGCCCCATCTATACTAGAACCTCAATATTGCATCTATTTAGACCAGCAACTTTGAGACCTGCAGGTAGAAAGAAGGAATAGTTTGTTCTTTTCACGCCTTCTCACTGGTCTGCTCCAATCCCCATCTTTGCCCTGGGTCTTCTGGTATTAGGATGGGGAAGAAGAGAGTGGAGAAAAGGGGCTGAAGATTTTTTCCTTGTCTGGAGCTGTTTGCCCTTTCCTGAGCTACTGGTGCCCTTTGAGGGGCAGAAATCCAAATGGTATCTCACTCACTGGGCTTGTTTGTGGATTCTCTAGATACCCTGTAAGGACATCTGCATTTCACATGGCTCTGTGATGTTCTCCAATTCCTGCACTGATTGTTCAACTTACAGCCACTCAGGGCTGCAGTCTCCACACTGAGAAGGTAGCCCTCCTTGGCCAGGAAGCTTCCAGATGGCTCCTCCTCCCTCCCGTGAAATCCACTTGGCCTCTTTTGCTCTGTCAATGAGAGAAATACGGGCTTGCCATCAATCTTCTCATTATTGAGGCAAGAGCACTCTTTGTTTTCTCCAGCTCTGGGGTGAGTATCCGTTGCTTCCTAAAACTCACTCATCATATTGCTTCTCTGGGGGCATCACGGTAGGTCTATGGGGTTTTGCACCCAACCCAGAAGTGGCATAAGTAACAAACCTATTTTCTATGGAATAAGTACAGACCTAAGCCTCTTAGAGACTGCCTTTGCTCGCCTAGCGCCTATGGGAGAAGGAGCTACAGAATCCTGCTTCTGTGAATTTCCTCCCTCTGTTAAATATAATCCTTTGTTTTTATAGCACAGGTAGGTGGCAAAATGAAGGTTAATGGGCCACCATGCCATTTTCAATAAGTCTTGCAGAACTGTGTTTTGACTTGTTTTGGAATTTTTTTTTTAGTACTAAACACTTACTTCTTGAGCTTTGGCCTTTGAAATTCTATGACAATAAAAATGTCCATTTCTGTATGTTGCTAAGGAGACAACCACAGAGTGACAACACTTCAACAGCGGAAACAAAATCCTATGTTAAAATCGCTGCGCTCCTTCAAGTCCTCCAGTGTTGCTCAGATGCCTTTGGTCTGCTTAGTTGAAAAGCTAGATGGGAAGTTCAGAGTTGGCACAAAGTCAAGGTCACATCAAGAGAATGCACAAAGGGGAAGGTCTGACAAGGCGGTGGGTCACCGGACTGGCAGACAGACAAAGTCCAGAGAGTTTGGGAAGAAATTTACAAGAAAAAAGGTGGAAAGTCCGCGTCCTTCTTCCATCCCAACTCTAATGCTACAAACCTGCTCAAGGCTATCCTACTCTGTGTTAGGCTGGGTCCTCCAGGAAGCAGAATCCAAGCAGGATCAGAAATCTGAGAAAGAGAAACGGGAGGAAGCCTGGTGTCGGGACATCAGGGAGAGCCATCAGATTGTGATGGAGATGTGAGCACTGTGAAGGAGAGAAGGAAGGTGGGAAGATTGGGTGGAAAAGTCTGAGACTGCAGTGTAGTTCTAGCAAATTCAACAAGGTCATCAAGTTGTTCTTGTGTCCAGACATTGCTTATCTGAGCTGCCACTGTCACCCACAGGTATTAGCTTGGAGCAGTTTGTGGGAAGTGGAACCCCAACCAGGACAAGTGAAGAATTTTGATGCACAGCATTTGGGGCTGCCAGTCACTTGTGCTCC